AACTGGTTAACATCCGTGCCTTTCCTCTCTGTCTTGTTTTCCTTTTCCTCTTGCACTTGATTGTATTTTCGTCAGTTAAGCGCTGCTCACTACGTTGACTCTCGTTAATTACGGAGCACGTGGGCGAAGCGAAATTGATTTGGAGACGGCACGGGTGGCTCACGCTTGGCGGAATTCGCTAGCCGCCGTGGCCGAGCTAATTGCGTTCGCACCAGCGGTCGCGAGCGCACTCTAATGCGGCGCTAATCTGACGCCGCTTGTCTCGGGCGCTAAAGCGGATTGCGTTAATGAAAGCGAATGTGTCCTCCGCGAGTGGAGCCGCCCCGACTTTGATGATTTAAGAAGATCCCGAGTGGGTGGGCCACTGCACGACGCAGCACGCGAATCTGAGTGTTTCGTGTAGCAAATGGTTTACTGATGTTACAGCTTAGAAGGGTTGTAATAGAATGACGTGAACGATAAGATGACGTGGCAAGGAACAACCAGGAGGCAAGTTATGCGCTCATCTACGCTTATCGACTTATGCGCACATATCCGCCCTTAAGGGCAATTGTTTCGGTCAAGTGTTACCGTCGCTAGCGGTAGGGTAGCGAAAAAATTTTTGTTCATCTATACCATCCTTATTCACACGTTTGTGCGTTTATGTGCGGGCGTGTGTTTTACAGATGCAAAAGAAAAATTTCTTGGGGAGGAGCGTTACAGTGCCCAAGCCACGCCTCACTGGCTACGACAATGACCGAAGTGTGCTCAACCAACTAGCCCAACTAACCAACTAGCCCAAATAGCCATTCTTCTTCAGTGTTCAACGCGCCCCTCGGGGACCGCTTGCTCTTGCCAGTGGCTTTGTCAGGCTAGCGTTACGTTTGTATTCGCGACGTTTTTTTTTAATCTCCCTTTCTTTCTTCAATATGTTTCGTATTGTTTGGCTGTGCGCCCTACTTCTATTGTCTGCTAATTACCCAAAATTTCCGCACTGAAACTGAATAACAGCTTACCTCAGTTCACATTTGCTATAAAAGGGTCGTGAACCGTGCACCCCGTGTACTGGGTTAAAAAAACTCGTTCTACGGGCCAGGCCCGTAGCTAGGAGGGCTCCCCCCCCCCCCCCCCCATTCTTTTAATGTTCTTATAAAGGGAGGTTTTTCACCGAGGACGAATAATAACGTTATTCAAAGCCTTCAACAAGTGCGACCCCCCTTCCCAACTTTCCATTTAAAAAAAATTACTGGCTTAGGACCTTCTGCGGGTAGCTGCCATGAAAAGCTCAACCAAATCTTGCAGCCCAGTAGGATGAGAAGAGAGTGGGATTGGTGAGCGAAGTTGCCATTTCAGCAAGGGCCGTCTTTTCATTCAGAGGTACGTGCCCAGTCACTTGGCATCTTCTTGCGTCCCCTGTTTTAGGTCAAACAGCGGATAACCTGTTGTTGGCCAATGGCTGACACCAAAAGCGGCATTCGTATCAGATGCGCGTATTGCCGAGGGGTGGCACCGCATGACGGCGCCGCGCTCCATATTTTTACGACATTGCACAACATAGCCACACGCGCACACAGGGATCGGAATGAGAGAGGGCGATCGTGTTTGAGGGGTCTCGAATTGACAAGCGAGCACCACGCCACGCTTTTGGAGTGAAAGGACACAGTAGACACGGTTTAAACAAACCAAACGACGCACACATTTAACTAATTTAGAACGACGATATCTTCCGCCCAATTACTATAACATGAATCGTGATCAACACGCTAAGAGACCCTTACACAATATTAAACAACACGACAAACACAATAACACACCCAAGGTGACGTCGCCAATGCTTGACTTACCACGAGGGCCCCCGACGCGCAACCCGCAGTGCCATGCACCAGGGACCCACGGTAGAGACAACCATCCGTGGCAACCACCACGCGTAGAAGAGACCAGCTTATTTCTCGCTCGCAGCTACCAAGGCTTGTCACCGCCGGCGCTATACCAAGAGGATGATGATGATAGTAATGATCAACGCTCGCGAACACAGCGCCACCTACCGCCCGGTAGTTGTAACCCGAAATACGGCTTTTGGGCGAGACACGTGCGCTACGCAGCGCAAACAACTTTACAGTGGGTGTCAGCACCCCCGCATATTTTAACGCACGTACTCAAGGTCATATGTCAACACACGTACTCTTTTTACTAGCGCTTATTTTTTGTGGAATAAATGTTTGCGTTAAATTGCGCGTAAACGAATTCGTTTTGCTGGGTGAGGTAACTGGTTCCAAGTTACCTAAGTGTGTATTTTTTCTGGTGTATTGCTCCCATTGCTCTAGAGTTTGTTTACAACTAGTGTTGTATTGTCTACTAGATAAGAACTGTTTTGTATGTCGTCTTTAAGTATGTACCGATTGTTCAGTGTTTGTATGCAATTAACGCCATTTTTTTTCAAAATGTACTCATTGAATTTTGTAAAGGCCTCGAGGCCCCTTCAGGCATTTCTGCCACTGCGTCCTCTTAGACGTTCTGACAAATATGCCGCTGTACAAATGTGAAACTGAAAACTGTATTGTGTATCCAAGAACTGATGCCCTTCTGCTTTGGTGTCGTATAGAACTGGCAGTATCTAAAAATAAATAAATAAAATAAATAATGCGCGCTTGCGTAATTTCTTTTCCCCCGTGACATCCTTTCTTGGGAAGCTTTTACGGTGCGCACTTTGGGACGAGAGAAAAGAGATGGCGCTTAAAGCGTTCCACACGTTCTTGCAACTCCGCTCTTTGGTGACTGGTTCGAGAACGTGTTTGCTGTAATGCATTTCTCAGACCATAAACTCCGATACTTGTGTCATCCGATGATTTCTAGGATGGGTCGTGCACCAGCACTACAAAAGCGCTTTAACGCTTGTGTCTGAAGGCCTCATTCCGGCCTTGGTGCCAGAATTCGGCCGCCCTCATCTGTGACGACAGTTCACACTACTTGTGGCATTCAACCGGTAAACTTGTTGCGTGAAGTGGATCGTCGAGATAGGAAGAAAATCCGCGATCAGGAATGCGCTGACGTTGCCATCTTTCATTCCTTTTCGGGAAAAAGAGGGTACCCTGAGGGGAAGGGTGTCGATGTAATGTTGCATCGCGCGTGTTCGAATTGCGAAACGGTGAGCGACGCGTAGCCAACGTTCTTTCGGTTGTCAGCACTGTGTTCTGCTTCTGCATGCTACTCTTATGCTTTTAGCTCGCTAAATTGCTTCTCTCCATGATCATCCATCACGCAACTTGGAATGCCGTAGAGATGACAGTTGCGTACACAACTTCGCAGCGTGCTCTTGTTCTTGTCGATATTGTTTTGTTTCTTGCATACATTCATTGCCTTCTATCTTCTTGTGTCCTGCTTTTCTATAGGAAACACACGCGAAGACGTACGAAGACACGCCAATGCGTGTACGCACGCGCGTATAACGGTTAACGCGAACTGCCTATTTCCCTCGCCTGATTTCTGCAGCGAAGTATTTGCTGGGCAACACGCATTCACTTCCGATCGCTTCTTTCGTTTAGCCTTGTTCCGCAAGGGTGCTTGCATTTTATTTTTATTTTTTGCCTTCTTTGTTTCCTTGCTGCCAGCACCGTTTTGACGCTGGCGTGTATATTCCCGTGGGAATTGCCCGCAAACATGGAGACAGTGTTCACTCGTTCGGTGAACACTCGTTATTAGATTATTTCGCTTCAGCGAAAACAAAACACCGAAAAAAATAGAAACTCAAATGAGAAAGCTTGGGTTGCACGTATTCCTTGCTTCTTAGTCGCATTCCCTCTCTGTCTATCTTTCTTTCTACGCATCTTGTTTTCGTTTGCGTGTGATGTGTGCGTGCTGGGATGAAATGAACGTCCTATGTATCGAGGCATGCAGGCCGACGGGAAGGAAGCCTAATAGAGTGCCTTGCAGTTTAATGTTCCTATGGGACAGCAGCTTGGAGCAGCGAATAAGTTTTGAAGCGAAGTGTTCATTCGGAAATTTGCGTGCTCGTCATGTGTGACAAAACATTCTTTTTTTGACGTCAGTACATACTTTGGGGTAGAAACGTGGCTGTCTTGCCTCTCCAACAACAACGAGTAAAACTATTACTATACAAAAAACAGCTGGGACAACAAAAAATTGTGAGCCACTTACACTATTGATCCAAGACATGAGTCACAGCGAAAATGGTGGTTACCTAGCTTTTCATGGCTTGGGTATATCTTTGTGTCAGGTGTTGCAAGATATTTCAAAGTTTTTCGAAGTGGTGCTAGGTTTCACCTAGATCTACGTGGATTTGGCTGTAATCTATCGCGTGATTTTAAGTGGTTTTGGCAGAAACACGCAAGGTCACTAGCTGTCGTGTAATTTTGCTCATTATTCCAATAACAGCTGCTATCGAAGACTTCAGGACTTTACGCTGCAAGGTTGTCAGTTATGGGTCGGTGTGTAGCCTTCACCAATTTATTCACTTATCTCGTCGGTGTGGCCGACTCCCTCAGCTGTGATAACTCCGATTACGTAGGAGTTTTCGACAATGTTGCGTGCCATTTCCTTCGATGATAGCTTTTCATCGGCGACTAATGATATAACGAAACGCTTCACAGCTCCGCGTTGGTGCACCGGCGAGTGTGGCAGCTAACCAGCGTCCACCAGCGCAAAGTTCAAACTGGCCCAGGGTGTCAAGCATCGTTTCAATAATCTGGCAAGATGTCATATACTTCTGGGTTTTCATGTGCCGAAAACACAACATTGTGGAAATGTGCCGTATGAAGTGCTCCGAAAAGTTTGACCTGTTGATGTTTGTTGGTGCACTGAAATCGTGCAGTACATTGACCTCAAGTTTATCGCCTGCATCAAAATGCTTTCCCGCCGCCAGGCTTGAACCCACGACTTCCTGATGAGCAGCTTAGCAACCTTAACAACTGTGCCACCCAGCCGGACCGTCGCACATTGTGTTGATGTGTGGTATATGCTAGGTGATCTGTCGGTTAATCAGTCGAACGATATTTTTGCGCGTGTCAGAACAGAACGAGGGAAAGCAGGGCGATCAACCGGACGTGCGTCCGGTTTGCTGTGCTACACGGACAAAAGAGGGTTAGGGCTTAAAAAAAATTGAAATGAGAGATGGCTGCGAACGAAAACATATACTTTTATGGGGCAAGTTCTGTATATAGCGCGGACATATATTTCGTAAATTCGACGCGAGTCATATATGATTATTGAATTCTGTCTGCTAGCAGAAAACCAGATATAAAGTTTCTTTTTATTTTCGTGGGCATCAGACTAGTCTGCGCAGGGTTCTCTATTGAAAGGAGGAGGTTATATTTCTCCACTGCACCCCCTCTGACAGTCGGACAGAAAACAATTTTCCTAATGGGTGCAAAAAATCAAATACAAGCAACAATGTGCTGCTAACAATGGTCGGCTTTTGTTCACCCATTTTCCGTGCTGAAGGTGGGATTCGAAATGTTCCCTCGGTGCATCTGGGGTACTCGGCTGTCTATTGTTATGTCCCGACACCGGGCACATGGTATAACATCTTTATTACTGAGGCGCACACTGCCAGCCTCAACACAAGCAGTACAAAACAGAATAGCCCCCTCCAGATACTGTGGACAGTATATGTACACACGCTATCTCTCGGCGCATGCGCAACTGGCAGTAGCTTGAGAGCATGCATACAAACCCCGCGACTGACGTCACAACACTTCCTTCACGCACAATTTTAGAAACTATCATAAGTCAGGCGCTCAGGTGGGCGCCGTTGCCTTGTGCTACGTCGTAAGGGAACCGGCTGCTCACGATTTTCGGGAAGTGAGAGTCTCGTGGGTGACGACGAATCTGAGCTTTGGTTGGTCGTCGCTGTAGCATTTGTGATGTCCGATGCATGTGGTGGTTCCACTTCCGGTGGTGGGTCCTGTTGTGCCGTCGGTTCGATGTCCGATGGTCGCAAGTGGTCCGCGTGCACAAACCGCACTTTGTTTCGCACATACACTAAATACGTCGAAGAAGATTTCACACACGTCACTTCTCCAGGCCACCAGTTCACAAGTTGCCCACGCACAGAACGCACCAGTACACGATCACCAACAGCAAACACTCGAGGTGAACCTCGGAGCCTGTCAGCAGACTTTTTTATTTCTGCGGTCTTAGCTCTCATCTGATTTGTTACGTCCGGGCGCAGCAGCGACAATCGGGTCCGCAGCTTCCTTCTCACAAATAATTCAGCAGGGGTTCTTCCCGTGAAAGTGTGAGGTGTGGTTCGATAACAAACACGAAGTTATCTATCCTGTGTTGCAGTGTTCTGTTCGTGCCCTTTTCCGAGTCTTCTAGCACTTGTTTGAGCAGTGCTTTTTTTGTTGTCTGAACTGCGCGCTCCGCCGCACCGTTAGACTGCGGATGGTACGGCGGCGTTAGTGTGTGCCTCACACCATTAGCTTGAAGGAATTCTTTGAACTCAGCTGCCCGAAACTGCGGCCCGTTGTCCGTCACTACCTCCAGCGGAAGGCCATGCGCCGCGAACCATGAACGCACTACTTCAACGGTCTTCGCCGCGGTGGTTACACTCATTATCTTAATTTCAAGCCATTTGGAATAGGTGTCGATAGCGAGGAGAAACATCCTTCCCTTTTCTTCAGCGAAGTCTAAATGCACACGCTCCCACGGATTCTGGCATATTTGCCACGAGGACAAGGGTACGGGTTGAGCTGCAGGGAGAACCGTTTGGCATATTGCACATTTGCGCACTGTGTTTTCGAGGGCTTTGTCCATTCCCGGCCACCATACTACTGACCTCGCTAATGCTTTCATTCGGGTTATACCCAAGTGCTGCTCGTGCAGCAACTGCAAAACATTCTTGTGCAATGATTCCGGTACTACCACTCTGTTTGTCCATATCACGCACCCGTTGTCTACACTGAGCTCGAGCCGGCGTACCCAGAACGGCTTTAGCTGCTCAGACACGGTCTTGGGCCATCCATGCCAGATCATGTCGCGTACAGCCCTCAGCTCTTTATCGCATCCTGTTTCTCGACTGACATCATTTGACGTTAAAGGCAAGTCGTTTAGTGCTGAAAAGTAGAAGATTTCTTCGCACTTGCTACCTGTGTCAGGTAACGGTAAACGGGACAATGCGTCTGCATGCTGGATAGCTGATCCTGGTTTGTGTTTGATTCTGTAGGTGTAGTCGGCCAAAAATGTCAGCCAACGATGCACTCGTGCCGTGGCTACTGCACTGCCCTGCCGTTTAGGGTCAAACAAAATTGTCAAAGGTTGGTGATCTGTTATTATGTTAAAGGGCCGTCCGTAAAGGTACTTATGAAATTTTTTTACAGCAAACACAATACTAAGTGCTTCTTTCTCAATCTGCCCATAGTTACGTTCGGCCGCTGATAATGACCGCGAAGCAAAAGAAACCGGCTTTTCCTCACCGTTCACCAAGTGCGATAGCACAGCCCCTAACCCGTAATCAGAAGCATCACATGTGATCCAGATTTCTTTTTTTACGTCATACAACTGCAACACAGTCTTATCAGTCAACAGTTCTTTGCATCTTTCGAATGCTTCATTACATTCGCGTGACCAGTGCCATGTAGTTTCTTTTCGCAACAAGTTGTGCAGTGGTTCCAAGATCGATGCTAAATTTGGCAAAAATTTTCCGTAGTAATTAATCAAACCTAAAAAGGCCTTCAACTGACTCACGTTAGTGGGCCTTGGCGCTTTTCTGATAGCTTCAACTTTTTCCGCTGTTGGGTGTAAGCCGTGCTTGTCGATCTCGTGTCCCAAGTATGTGACGCGTTGCTGAAAGAAGCTGCATTTCCTTGCGTTCACTTTTACGCCGTGTTTACTTAGGCGTTGAAGAACTTGCTCCACCCTTTCATAACACTGCCCGTCGTTCTCACCAGCGATGACTACATCAATGTAGCACGCGGTTCCAGGCAGATTACGCAGTATCTGGTCCATGACCGCCTAGAAAAATAGCTGGTGCGCACGCTACGCCATACGGCAAGCGGCGTAATCTAAACAGACCTAGGTGGGTGTTAATAGTGAGCAGTTCCTGCGCTTGTTTGTTTAGTTCGAGTTGCAAGTACGCTTTTGAGAGGTCTATGATAGAAAACACAGTTCCACCCTGAAGATTTGCGAATATGTCTTCAGGAAGTGGCAAGGGATACTGATCGACCTTGATGGCTGGATTTACTGTGACGCGATAGTCGCCACATAATCTCAGTTCTTGAGTGTTCTTTTTTGGAACAATCACAAGAGGCGTTGCCCATGGACTACGTCTGACCTTATATATGACTCCAGCTTTTTCTAGCTTGACCAATTCTTGTTCAACGCGCTCGCGCAAAGCGTATGGCACTGGTCGCGCTTTCATAAAGACAGGGCGCGCGTCATCCTTCAATTCAATGCTGCATTCGAATCCCTTAATTGTACCAAAACCCGCGCCAAACACTTCGGGAAATTTCTCAGCAAGCAATGCCTCCTTAGCCACCACATTTACTGAAAATACTTCCTGCCAATTTATTTTGATTTTAGAAAGCCAATCTCGGCCAAACAACGTGGGCATTCTAGCACCCTGCGTTTCTTTCGCTATGACAAGTGGCAGTTCGAAACACTGGTCTTGGTATTGCACCTTTACATCCATAATACCAACAGTAGGGACCGTCGTGCCATTCTACGTGGCTAGTTTGACATTTGCTTGCCTGCAAGAGGCGTTTGGGAAGTGTTTAGCACACTCTGTTTCTGACATTATTGACACCGCTGCGCCCGTGTCAAGTTCCATGGGTATCACTTTATCATTTATGCAAACCTTGATTACAATGGCGGGCATACCTTCTTTGTGGTTCATATTATACAGAGATAGCAGTTCGTTAGTATTTTCTTTCTCGCATTCTTCGCTCTCTACTCTATTTACAAGCTTAGATTTGCACATTTTAGCAACATGAGCCCTTTTTGTACACCTATAACAGGTACTGTTCAGAAATCGGCAACTCACGGGTGAATGCTGTCCTCCGCAACGATGACACATTCTTTTCGTTTGTTCTTTCGCTGCCCCATTTTCCTTGTCCCAGCTGGACTGCGTCGGCGCTTCCCTCGAAGGTGCTTTACTCGGTTGTGAGATTTTCCGTTGCCAGTAGATGTCCTCCGTTTCTACAGCTGCTCCTTTAGAACTGGTTTGCAGCATTTCTTTCGTGTCTTGTGTTGCCGCTTCCATGGCCATGGCTACGCTGCATGCGCGTTCCCACGTTACTTCCTTGTCTGGCATTGCCAATAGCCTGCACCGTACTCCCTCGGTACGTATTCCAGCGACGAGCCGGTCACGCAATGCTTCGGTCAAAAAGGCACCGAATTCGCATGTTGCCGCGAGTTTCTTCAATTCGACTATAAAGTCTGCGACAGTCTCATGCGGCTCTTGCTTTCGCTGGTGAAAACGATACCTTTCGGTGACCACGGAGCGCTTGGGAGCGTAATGCTTCTTCAGAACGTCCACAACTTCCGTGAACGACGTCTTAGCTGGTGTTTTAGGCAGCAGCAAGCTCCGAAGCGTGACGTAGGCCTTCTCACCTATAGCCGGGAGAAAGATTGGAAGCTTCTTGTCTTCCGCGATGTCATTGGCCGCGGCAAATACTTCGAACCGCTCCAGGTATACCTCGAAGTTACCGTCCTCTTGTTGGAACTCGGGTAACTTACCGACAGTGGTCGCCATACTCAGTTCAAGCTGGTTAGAGTGGGATTCCTAGAAGCCTGCGGCGAATCTCATCCTCGTCGCCAGTTGTTATGTCCCGACACCGGGCGCATGGTATAACATCTTTATTACTGAGGCGCACACTGCCAGCCTCAACACAAGCAGTACAAAACAGAATAACCCCCTCCAGATACTGTGGACAGTATATGTACACACGCTATCTCTCGGCGCATGCGCAACTGGCAGTAGCTTGAGAGCATGCATACAAACCCCGCGACTGACGTCACAACATCTATATTGTGAAGATTTGAATCGCCATGTACATGGGCAATAAAAAGATGACAGGGCATATCCGCTTGATTAACTGTTATCAAGCTCACTGTGCGTTCCACTCAGGTAACCAGAAAACGGCAGACCCCTCCCTTCCCCGCCGCTGTGTGTGTGTGTGCCTACGGGGCATGTCTTCGTTTTGTTGCCTGACTTACGACGTTCCGCCTACGCTACTTTAAGAAGCGATTGGTCCATGTAGACACACACACAAAAAAGCACCGTAAGATGAAAGACCACAACTGATGTCTTCATTAGTATGGACTTTTGATTTATTTTCAATTACGAGCGGAAGTAAGATATTGTGCGACAGCTGCCGGTTGAGAAAACAAAGAAATGAGCATATGTCTGGGAATAAAAATAAAAAAAGAAAGATATTCTTAACGTGAGAGAAATAACTACATCGCACGAGACACTTGATGAGATATAAATAACATAAATAAAGAGAGCTGCGAGAGGAGGGCGGAAATGGTCTGGTAATCACAAAGCAGTTGAAGAACGAGCGTGGTAAGAATTAATGAGACGAAAGATTAATTCGTGTATATGGCACTGGACTGATTACGTTTTAACGAGACTTTGAGGGCTTCTAGCTGTTCAGGCAAATAAAATGACCATTCTGAGGTGCGTAATGAGATTGGTGTTTCCTTTGTGCGCGAAGCCGCTACACTGCTGCCGTTGTGCATTTTTGGCGCTTGGGTACACCTCTAGCTGTTAAGGTGGTCCGGCGGTTACGGCACTGGGCTACTGATCTGAAAGTCCTGGGTTCGATTCCTACCACGGCGATTGCATTCAGATGGAGACTAAAAATGATGCTAAGTGGCCCGTGTACTTTATGTTAGGGGCGGCTAAAGAACTCCAGGTGGTCGAAATTTGTGGAGTCCTCCACTACGTCCTGCCATATCGTGATTTTGGCACGTGAAACCCCAGATAGGAGGTGCTGCGTTGTCAATCTAGTACATCCACCGGAATAGTCATGTCCTACTGAACAATCTATCGGAACACATGGACGTCGAGCGGGAGCGATGACTGAAAGCTCGACTTTTTCGTCTTTCTAACTTCCTTGTTCTCTTCTTTGCCGCACAGTGTCACATAAAAGTTGGCCAGCAATAAACGCCATAACACAATCTCATCTCACGCTTTTGCCATTGTTCATACGGGGATACTGGTAGTTACGTTTTTTGTACATCGTGGAAGCGAATTGGGGTGGCGTGTACCTTTTGTTGCTCAAAAGTAATTGTCATCTGGCACAGTTTTTTTATGTCACCTAGTGTCTCGGTGCTCTTTGTTTCAAAACTTTGCAGACTTCTTTTTTTTTCATTATTAGTACATGGCGCTGATAGCGTACGTGTCGTTGGCTACCTGAAAATACTGGGGTGCGTTGCCTTTAAAGGGACCCTGAAACACTTTTCTGAGTAACCATGGAAGTAATTCACTAGAAAAGCGTATTGCCTCACAGATTCGACGACCGAAAAATTTTAAGAATTAGCCCATCACGAGTGGAGTTACAAAGATTTGTCATACGCTGCAATCGCATTCTCTCTTCTTTTGTCGCGACGAAAGCGCTGGAAGCTAAGCAGGGAGGGATGGGAGGGGGCAAATAAAAAGCGTCACTAGTGCCTCGTGACCTTGAGCATCTTTTCCTTTTTGTTTTCTTCGAATACGCGGCAATATCAGTGCGAACGCGCGTGCACGCGTGAACAAGTGACGGCCTCTCGTGGCGATCTCCGTAACAACGGAGCGCGCCATGTTCAAATCAGCCAATGGCTGATAGATGAGTAATCTACGTGTGATTTTTGAGCGTCTTCCCTCATTTGTCGAGGGAAGAGAAATCAATTTTTAGCTGTCTTTGATAATTTATTGTGAGTTCCAACACATGTGCTGCGCTATAACAGTTGGCTCGCATGTTTTCGGGAGCCTCTACTACTGATTGGCAGCCTTTTCTGACCGTGCTCAAAAAGTTTTGCAGGGCCCCTTTAAGTAGAAAAGCTAGGTGTGGTATACCACGATTAATGTTGGGAAGTGGAGGGGGGGGGGATACGCTTGAGAACACAAAATGAGCCGTCCAATGGTGAAGGCGAGATCTCCAAGGGAGGCATATGGTTTTGCGCGGCCCATATATTATCTGACCCCTGTCTGGGCAGGGGCTTAGCGGTGTGTGCTTGGGGTGGCTTGGATATTTAGGTGCTACAGAGAGGACGATGAAGTTACTTAGTGATAGAACGCGTCTGTCACTACTAACTGTTTTTCGTTATATTTTCCACGATTCCTGGGACGCTCTCTGCGTCCCGCCTTGTGGCGATGGCAGCGGCGACTTCTACAGGCCCACGTGGTCAAATGTCAGCGCCCTCAAGCTCTTCTGTGGCTCAAGGCTCATGGTCCATCACCAGCGACGGCTCAAGAGATGCTCCTGCTCTCGTGCCCATGGACGAAGAACGAACTGCTGGCCCGTCTGGCTACAGCTCAACATTTGTAATCTCCGCAAGGAAACGAAGCTCTTGGTGCAGCTCCAGTGAAGACACGGACATCTACTCAGTCGACGGCGACGACTTATCAGATGGCAGCTTCGTGTCTGTGATGAGCCGCAAGGCCAAAAGGAGGCTCATCAAGACGTCATCACCAGCAAGCACGTCAACCATGAAGGCAAGGAGTGAACGCTGGCCGCATACCATTCTCTTCATGCCCGTGGATCCTTCCGCCAGCCTTCGAAAATTGAACAGGCAAGCCATTTCCAATGTTCTTGAGGGAATAGCACAGAATGAAATCAAAGAGGTTCGGCTAAACACACGTAAGAACGTTTTAGCTGTTGACACAACACATGCAGACACGCTGGAGAAGCTTCGAATGATGACAGAGTTTGGAGATGTCAAAGTACGAGCGGTCGTACCGTTGACTGGGACCTGCACTGCAGGTGTCATTTACGACATTGACTTGGCAATCCCAAACACGGATCTACCCATTCTGATAAAACCGGCGTACGAAGGAGTGGTCATTAAGCATATAAGCCGCCTCGGGAACAGCCGCTGCGTTAAGATAGTCTTTGAGGGCGACTCAATCCCTACGCACGTCAAGGTGGGACATTTCCGGCATGTGGTACGGCATTTTGTCCCAAAGCCGCTTCAGTGCCACAAGTGTTTCAAGATCGGTCATGTCAAGGGCGTCTGTGCGAACTTTACCGTATGCCCCCGGTGCGCGGAGGCGCACACGGTAGACACCTGTTGTGCAACAACTTATAGGGGCGGCAATTGTCGAGGTACGCATGAGGCCACGTCTAAGGAATGCCCAAGACTCAAGAAAGAAATGGGTATCCTGAAAGAAATGGTCAGGGATAACTCCACCCATAGAGAAGCTTCACAGAAAATCCGGCGTCGACGTCGCCACCGACGGAAGCGCTCCAGTCATGGTGATATTCATGCACCACTTCGGTCTACACCACCATCAACATCCACTAGAAAGCCAGAGAGTACAAGAATACCTCCACCGGCGAAGCCTCTCTCCCCTGAAGACTGGCCGGTGCTTGCGAACGCACGGCCTTCCGAGCAGCCTTCCCGCTCTCTGCTCCCAGTGAAAGCCAATGCTGCTGATGACGAGGCTCCAACAGCAGATCGTCAAATTATTCCTATGCTGCGATCCATTGTGAGTGTCATCAGAAGTCTTCTGACAAGCATCGATACGCCAACTGCTAGGAGCGGCCTACAGATGCTGGACGCGTTGAGTCCGGTCCTTGCAAGCCTCCAGTAAAGCCATGGCCGACAATCACAAGTCGTTCCGTCAGGAGGTCAGAGAAGCGTCGATTTTTCAGTGGAACGCAAGAGGTCTGAGATCTCGCATATCTGATTTTAGCCAGTTTGTTCATCTGTACCGATTTCCTATCATGATTATATGTGAACCGAAATTATCGCACCCAATCAGATTATCCGGCTACGAGTCATTTTTCTCTTCAAGTGACATCGAAAGCAGCAAGGTTGTTGTATTTATTCGCCGGGAGCTTACTTACGTCGTCCAGCCAGTGCAACCTCACGACGGCAATCAGTATGTGTGCTTGTCTGTTAAAAAAGGAAAGGTGACATTCGCACTTCTAGGCGTGTATATATCCCCATCAAGTCATTTCGACGCCAACAAACTAGACGGCATATTAAGGGCACATCCGGGTCCGTGGGTTATCACCGGGGATTTCAATGCGCATCATCCCATCTGGGGAAGCTCAAGGCTTAATTCAACGGGACGACGTCTAGCATCATTGGTTTCCAGCCATGGTCTCGTCCTTCTGAATGACGCCAGTCCTACGTTTTTACGAGGCACTACTTATAGCAGCTGCCTTGATTTGTCCTTTGTTTCACGCCGATTTGCTACACAGGTAAAGTGGTTTTTGGACATTGAAACACACGGAAGCGACCACATCCCCACTTACCTGAAGATTAAAGGTATTTCGAACATGTACTCCTCTACCACAACACAAAGAATAGATTGGAGTGTGTTCAAAGCTCAACTTGAGGATGCTTGTGAAGAAGGCCTGTCCAATGGTCTTCAGCAAGCTATTAAGGAAACTGTACATGCGACTATGCGCACAATAATATGCTCTTCGAAGTACTCTGAATATGACCTCGAGCTGGAGCGACTTCGTGCGATACGCCGTCGTGCCGAAAGACGATACCGACGCACCAATTCCACAGACGATCTACGGACAGCCCGGCGCA